CCATCGATTAGAATGATCAGGCTTGTAGTCACGAATAGGGAGACAGGGTTTGAACTCCATCTGGATCTATCTCTGCATATAAGTTAGGGAGATATCATCTGTCATATGTGATATGCTAAGACGAACTGCAGGATTCATATTAACAACTTGCTGTCCTTGTGCTAAAAGACAGAAAATGAAGGAAGCACAAAAAACCCTATAACAAGATGATATTTGAAAATCGCAAAACCTGATATTTTTTCACATATACACCGTTTATACATGCCTGTTCAGCTACATTTCCATTTCATTATTATTAAAGGGTCATTTAATCTCCATCGTCCATAAACTCAAGCAGCTCAGTCTCCATGTCATTAACTTCTGCTTCAGGCCACAGCCTATCGGTTGCCTCAGCTTCTTCCACCTTCTTCTTCGCAAGCTTCTTACTTTGCTTGCCCCTCTTCCGCTGGCCTGAGTGAGAAACAAAACGCAATATGAATAACTCGTTTCGACATCACGGTATCCACATTGCAGCTATTCGTCTTATATTTACACGGGTTTCGTCACACCCTCATACCTCGCGCTTTGCCTGGAGGGAACTCGCAGCCGAAACGCCTTTCGCACATCTCCTTCAGATAGCGGCTCAGCACTGCTCTGCACTTGTCCCCGAAGTCTGCTTCACACCAGCCATCCTTTTCTGTGCACACCTTCTCCTGTATTGAAAGAACCTGTGAAGTAGATAATGTAGTGATAACGGGTGGAGGGTTCCCCAGATTGCAAGGAAGCCTAGATGATTTGTAAGCCACGTATGGGCAGCACTGATCAGGTATAGACAACATTGGTTAGTTACACATGGACAACAACATTGGTCAGCTACATATGGACAACATTGGTCAGCTACATATGGACAACATTGGTCAGCTACATATGGACAACATTGGTTAGCTACATATGGACAACATTGGTTAGCTACATATGGACAACAACATTGGTTAGCTACATATGGACAACATTGGTTAGCTACATATGGACAACAACATTGGTTAGCTACATATGGACAACATTGGTTATTAGCTACATATGACAACATTGGTCAGCTAACATAATGGACAACATTGTAGGCTTACATATGGCACAATATTGGTCAGCTACATATGGAATCAAGACAACAATTGTTAGCTACATATGGACAACATAGGTCCAGCTACCATATGGACAACATGGTTATGCTACATATGGACAACATATGGTCCAGCTACATATGGAACAACATTGGCTATGCTACATATGGCAACATGGTTAGCTAACAGCATGGACAAATTGGTTTAGCTAGCATAGAGGACAACATGGGTTAGCTAGCATATTGCAAACATGTGAGGTTAGCTAATATCGGACAACATGGGTAGCTACATTATGGCAACATGGTAGCTACGATTGGACATTGGGTTTAGGCTAAGGCATATGGACGACACATGGTCAGCTACAATGGACAACATTGGTCCTACATATGGACTACCATTGGTTACTACGATATGGACAACAACATTGGTTAGCTCCATATGGACAACATTGGTTAGCTACATAATGGAGCAAAACATTTGTTAGCTACATATGGAACAACATTGGTTTTGTCTACATATGGACAGCATTGTCAGCTAACATATGGACAACATTATCACTACATATGGCAAACATTGGTTAGCTACAATGGACAACATTGGTCAGCTACATATGACCAACTTGGTTAGCTAGCATATGGACAACAACATTGGTTAGCCCTACATATGACAACATTGGTTTAGCTACATAGTGGACAACAACACAATTGGTTAGCTACATATGGAACATACATGGTCATGCTACATATGGACAGACTGTCAGCACACTATGGACAACCATTGGTTAGCTTACATATGGGACATTGGTTAGCTTCCATACTGGACAACATTGGTCAGCTACATATGGACAACATTGGTCGAGGCTACACATATGGACAACATTGGTCAGCTACATATGGACAACATTGGTTAGCTAAACATATGGACATTGTTAGCCTACATATGGACAAACATTGGTCAGCTACATATGGACAACATTTGGTTAGGCTACATATGGACAACATATGGTTAGCTACATATGGACCAACATTGGTTAGCTAGCATATGGCACAACATGTTAGCTACATAGGAACACATTGGTCAGCTACAATATGGACCACATTGGTTAGCTACTATGGACACATTGTTAGCTACATAATGGACAACATTGGTCAGCTACATATGGCACCCGCATTGGTTAGCTAGCAATTGGACAAACATTGTCAGCTACATATGGACAACATTGGTTAGGCTACATATGGACAACATTGGTTCAGCTACATAAATGGACAACATTGGTCAGCTACATATGGACAACAAATGGTTAGCTACATATGGACAACATGGGTAGCTACGAATGGACAACAACATTGTTACTACATAGTGGCAACATGGGTTAGCCTTACGCATGGACATTGGTTAGCTACGTATGGACAACATCGTGTCAGCTACCATATGGACAAACTACATTGGTAGCTACATTATGGACAACATTGGTCAGGCTACATATGGCACAACATTTGGTCAGCTACAGTACTGACAACATTGTTAGCTAGCATATGGACAACATTGGTTAGGCTTACACATGCGACAACATTGGTTAGCTAACATATGGAACAAGCATTCGGTTAGCTACATATGGACAACATCTGTAGCTACACATGAGAACATTGGTTAGGCTAGCCATATGGCTAAACATTGGTTAGCTACATATGGACAACATTGTTAGGCTACATATGACAACATTGTTACTCATATGGACAACATTTGGTTAGCTACAATGACAGAACATGTTAGCTACAGCATGGACAACATTGGCGTTAGCTAACATATGGACAACATGGTTAAAGCTAGCCGCATGGACACAACTGTTAGTCTACACATGGACAATCATGGTTAGTCTAGGGCCATGGACAACATGAGGTTAGCTACATATGGACACAACAGTGGGTTAGCTACCCATTGACACACGGGTTAGCTACACATGCTAACATGGTTAGCTATCACATGGCAACATTGTTACTACCACATGACAACATTGGTTAGCGTACATAATGGCAAACATGGTAGCTACATATGGACAACATTGGTTAGCATAATATTGGACAACATTGTCAGGGCTACATATGGACGAACATGGTTAGGCTACATATGAAACACAATGGGTATAGCTAACACATGGCAACATGGTTAGGCTACACTGCAACATGTGTTAGCTACACATGGACAACATTGGTTAGCTACATAGGACAACATGGGTAGCTAGCCCAGGACAACCACATGGTTATGCTACACATGCAAACATGGGTTAGCTACACATGGCAACATGTTTGAGCTCCACAATGACAACATTGGTTAGGCTACACATGGACAACATTGTCAGGCCCTATGTAAATGTTTTAATTCCTATGCTAGCCTATGTTGTCATGCGGCTGACATTGCTTGAACCTGCTGTGCCTGAATATCACACAGTCTGGTTAAATACATCTGTCTAAACGGTGCAGACATTCGGTATGAATGTATATGTGAAGTGATTTTCTCCAGTTCTTACCGCGGTGCCTGCTGTTGATGTATAGGCCACTGGCAGGGCACACCTCAGTTCCAAGGTAATCAAGGCCTGTAGATACAGAAATATCAGGATGCCATCATGTTAATTGATTGATTTGATAATACTGATTGATAACACCAGATTGTTAGGCTTTGTTACACGAATACCGAATTTTAAAAATATTTAACCTAAGGAATTAACAATTAAGTACCGACATCCAGACGGAATAAAAGAGCTATCAACCGTGCAGGCAGTGAACAGTGATGAACCGTACCGTAATTATGCTCCTGTGCCTGGGTCTTAGAAACTGTTGTTGGCTCCTGATAGCAAAATGTACACGTTAGCTGGAGATAGGCATGCTGATCAACAGACACTGAAAACAAAATATAGTACATTTAAGTAATGTCTACCCTTGAAAAATCAAAACATCACCTGTAATTACAGATTTAAAAAAATCGCTACCTAAAATTGCCTAAAACACCTCCCATTACTTAATGCATCACATTACAGAATACAAACTACGAAATATATCAATTATTGTTACATATCTTGTTATTAAATGCACTTACTGCGAACTCTGAAGTCTAGCGTTTGATACTTCTTATCACAGTCCGGATGCTTAGCGGCGATCGTAGCCTATTCTCACCCACAGGGAGCTCTTCCACACGGTCCAGTCAGGAAATAATAAGCGAATAGAGCAAATGGTTTTCAGCCTGAGTTGTCAATATATCAGGTTCAACTATTGCATTCTCGACTCAGCACAGGTTCTCTCTTCAAAAGAGCTGTACAAGCCAAAATACTTAAACTAAGGAAGCATAATACGATTCTTCAGTTGTTTGTTTGTTTGTTCGTTACTTTATTTATACTGGACTGCGAAGGGTTTTAAATCCACATGATAAAAACCTCCCACTCCAGAATCTGTGCTCGGTCGCAGTTTTGGGCAGTCTTATTGCCGCAATTTATTTGAATCAGATTTTTACGACTGGAGCCCATTACTAACATCAACCCGTGACGAGACTTTTCCATCACTCTATCTCTTGCTGAGTGCTAAGCAGAGAAGCAGTGTGTACGTCATCTTTTTCAAGTCTTTGGTATGACCCGGCCGGGATCATGAAAGTCTTAAAAATTGATAGATATAATGAGACGACTGGGTTTCCTCGAAATTGTCAGTGGGACGGAACACAGACCTATACGTGATAGGTCTAGTTCTATAATTTTGTTACATGTTAATTTTAATAACAGATAATGCAGCAGAAGAGTAAATACTGTGGCGAGCAACAGAAGCATTACTACATGCCGTTGCTCAAGCAGTAGGCCTACATAGCTGTCCACAAATTTGTAAATAGGCCACAACTTTCACTACAGTTTCCTTTCACCTTCCGAACCAGTTCTTCGTTCACAGGGTCTGGCTCAGCTTGCCCGAGCAATGGCAGCATCCACCTGCTTTGTTGTGTCTCTCTCCGTAGCTCACGAACATTGTGTAGACCGAGCGTCTGTGACGAGCGACTCTGATCAAGTTACTCTCCTCCATTTCAGTGCTAGCTAGCTCCTCCAACTGATGATCACCTTTCTTCTGCAGGGAGAAAGCAGTTACTGATGCTCAATGAGCAACACTCTCACGGCAGGGGTAGAAATGAACTTGGAAGCAAGGAGTCTATGGACTCCTTAAACACTCAAAAAGAGAAGTTTGCAGAAAATTGAGGGGTCATGTAGTCTAAGTTAAAAATAGAAAGGATTGCTGAAAAAAATACGGTAAATCTGTAAAGGCCGTGCTGCTGAAACGAACTAAGTTAGTAACTAAGGCAGGAATTTTCAGGGAGCACACGGAACTTCCTGCATATGTCAAATCAGGGTGTCCGACATAAATCTAGGGGTCCGACATTAAATCAGGGAAAGTTATGGACTCCGGACACGCGTTAATTTCGCACCGCTACATCGATAAGCAGAGTAGTGTTTAGAGCGTCGACCACACAGAGAAGCTGCAGCAGTGTTATCAAGGAACTAATAAGTGCAGCGATGAACTTTCGTTCCTGGTCACAAACAGCGATTCGCAAGTAACAATGTAGGCAATTTAACGCTTGCGAACAGAATGTCTTCTGCTTACGAGAGCATAACATTTCCGCACTTGGCTGGCGCAGACTTGTCTGGTGCTGTGGGCATCCCCGCCGAAAATGATTAGTCACT